AGGTGATTGTACTCAGCTGGTGGTCATTAGGCTCCTCTCCAGACTATAAAAAGCTACTTGTGCACACAGCACTCTTTGCAGAAGTGGCTTATGACCATGTTTCACACCTAAAACCTTTGCAGCATCTCCATGTGATCAAAATTCAGATGCTTGGCCGTTGGTTTGTATTTATGACAGTTGCAGTGTTCTGGGGTCATATGATCACCTTCTGTGACCTTCTGACAAGCAAAGCCAATGGAGAAGCCAGATTCACTTAACAATTGGATAACTAACTTATCAACTGCAGTGATTCGCTTAACAACTGAGGCAAGAAATATGGTAAAATGGGACAAAATTCACTTAACAACTGTCTTCCTTAGCAGAGAGAAATTTTGGGCTCAACTGTCCCCGTTAAGTCAAGGACTTAACTTTGGTTTTCAGGTCCTAAGTTCTGCAAAGATGTTAGTACTGAGGATCTTTTATGGTTTTCTCCAAATCTACAATTCAGAGAAGTAGTTTTACCCAAAAACAATTTTCAAAAAAATAGTCAATATTATTTTAAAAATTATAAGTATGTTGGAATATATAATCATGCAAGGTAGCAAGCACCCTCCCTAGTAAACAGCAATTTATTAAATTATTATTAATTAATTTTTTTTAGAACTCTTCTGTAGGTGTAGCCTGCTTTGTGGGAGAGGCTTGCCGGCAATGTGACCAGGTGGGAGTGGCTTGCCAGCCATGTGACTGGGTGGGTGTGGCCAACTTGTAAAATGTGGTGAACTCACTTAACAACGCTCTTGCTTAGCAACCAAAATGTTGGCTCAGAAACTCTGGCATTTGAAGTGTGCAAGTCTTAAAGCTGTCAAGTTACCCTTGCACCCCTAACCCTTTAGAAAAAAAAAAACCAGGGGTGTCCAAACTTGACAGCTTTAAGACTTGTGGACTTCAACTCCCAGAATTCCTCCTCTCTCTCTTCATCTTGATGATGCCCGAGGGGAGGGAGCTGGAACCGGTTCTAAGCGGCACTGTAGATTTGTGGAACCTCTTCTATAGAAGAGGTTAGAACTGGCAGGAACCCACCCTGATGTCATGTGGACTAAAGGTAGGTATCACAAGCACTTTAAGGCAGAGATCTTCAGATGGAAGGGCCTGGAACTAGAAAACACTAGTTTTTTTTTTTCATTCTGTGAAACTCTAGGGCCATGATGGCGAACCTATGGCATGCATGCCA